TCTCTTCTCCTCTCTCTCTATTCTCTCTCCTTTCTCCTCTCTCCCTCTTTCTCCTCTCTCCCCCCCTCTCTCTCTTCTCCTCTCTCCTCCTCTTGATCTCTCCTCTCCCTCTTCTCCTCTCTCCTCTCCTCTCTCTCTTCTCCTCTCTCTCCCTTCTCTTCTCCTCTCCCCTCTCCTCCTCTCTCCCCTCTCTCTCTCTTCTCCTCTCCTTTCTCCTCTCTCTCTCTCTCCTCCTCTTGATCTCTCCTCTCCCTCTTCTCCTCTCCTTTCTCTTCTCCTCTCTCCCTCCTCCTCCTCTCTCTTCTCCTCTCCTCTCCCTCTTCTCCTCTGTCTTCTCCTCTCCCTTCTCCTCTCCTCTCTCTCTCTTCTCCTCTCCCTCGTCTCCTCTCTCCCCTCTCTCCTTTCTCCTCTCTCTTCTCCTCTCTGTTCTCCTCTCTTCTCTCTCCTCTCCCTCTTCTCCTCTCGATCTCTTCTCGATCTCTTCTCTCTCGTCTCTTCTCCTCTCTCCCTTCTCCTCCTCTTGATCTCTTCTCCTCTCCCCTCTCGTCTCCTCTCTCCCCCCTCTCTCGTCTCCTCTTTCTCCTCTCCTCTCCCTCTCTTCTCCTCTCTCGTCTCCTCTCCCCCTCTTCTCCTCTCTCTCCTCTCCTCTCTCCTTTCTCTTCTCCTCTCCCTCTTCTCCTCTCTCTCTATTCTCTCTCTCCTCTCCTTCCCTTCTCCTCTCCTCTTGATCTCTTCTCCTCTCTCTCTCCCTCCTCCTCCCTCTTCTCTCCTCTCCCTCTTCTCCTCTCTCTCCCTTCTCCTCTCCTCTTGATCTCTTCTCCTCTCTCTCGTCTCCTCTCGATCTCTTCTCCTCTCTCTCCTCCTCTTGATCTCTCCTCTCTTCTCCTCTCTCTCTTCTCCTCTCCTCTCCTCTCTCTTCTCTCGATCTCTTCTCCTCTCTCTCTCCTCCTCTTGATCTCTTCTCCTCTCTTCTCTCTCGTCTCCTCTCTCCTCCTCTTGATCTCGTCTCCTCTCTCCTCTCTCTCGTCTCCTCTCCTCTCTCTTCTCCTCTCTCTCTCTTCTCCTCCTCTGTCTTCTCTCGATCTTTCTCCTCTCTCCCTCCTCCTCCTCTCTCTCTCCTCTCTCCCTCTTCTCCTCTCTCCTCTCGATCCCTTCTCCTCTCTCGTCTCCTCTCCTCCTCTTGATCTCTTCTCCTCTCTCCCTCTTCTCCTCTCCCTCTCCTCTCGATCTCTTCTCCTCTCTCCTCTCTTCTCTCTTTTCCTCTCTTCTCCTCTCCTCTCTCTCCCTTCTCCTCTCTCTCTTCTCTTCTCCTCTCTCTCCTCCTCTCGATCTCTTCTCCTCTCTTCTCTCTCTCTTCTCTCTTTCTCCTCTCCTCTCTCCCTCTCTTCTCCTCTCTGTCCTCCTCCTCAGAAGAAGGAGGAGAGAAGAGAGAGAGAAGAGGGAGGAGAGAGAGAGGAGAAGAGGGAGAGAGGAGAGGAGAACAGAGAAGAGGACCCCTCATCTGAAAAAGCAACAGAGCTCATTTTGTTTTTAAGACATTTTTATTGGGCAACAGTGTGTTTTTCCAGGACCCATCAGTTCCAAGTTGAGTAGTTGTTTCAATCTAGTTGTGGAGGGCGCAGTTTACTGGCCCATGTGGGCATCGAACCAGCAACCTTGGTGTTGTGAGCCTGTGCTGCAACCACCTGAGCTAACTGGCCGCCCCACTCAACAGATATTGATTGAGCACCTACTGTGTACCCAGGTACTAGGATTTGAGCAAGGACATTTCACGAAGTCTTTCTATCGGGTGAATAAATTGCAGGTGACAAAAATGGAAGGAGGGACGAAAGAGCAGGTCCCTGGTGGGTCAAGGCCACACACACAGACACACAGAGCTGGCTGACAGGAAAGATGGATCATATAACATTCCCCCCTCCCTGGGGTCCAGCCCAGAATGCTTTGCAGAGACCAGAACTATCTCTTTCTAGGAACGCCATGTGACGTCCTGCAGTCACACTGAATAGAAGCACGTGATCTGGAAAACCAACGAGCCAGGTGGAAACCAGCTGTGCCTGTTGAGTGGCAGGGTGTATGTTTCCACGGAATGGCCAGCAAGCAGGCATGCATTCATTCAGTGCACATTCTTTTCCCAAAGCACACACCATGTACCAGGCACAGGGGGCCCAAAGGTTTAGTGAATGGACCACAGCCCTTGTCATCCCCCCGACTGGGTCCAAATCCTGTCTGACTGTGAGCAAGAAGCTTACCTGAAGCCTTGGTTTCCTCCTCTGTAGAATGGGAACATGAGGCCCAGTACGCAGGACCCTGGGCCTCTCTGGGACCCAGCACCCTAGCTCAGGCCCAGTGACACCAGGACTCGCTCTCCCGTTTCAGGTCGGCACTGACTGGGATGCCAAGGAGCGCCTCTTCCGGAACTTTGGGGGCCTCCTGGGGCCCATGGATGAGCCAGTAGGCATGCAGAAATGGGGCAAGGGCCCCAACGTGACCGTGACCGTCGTCTGGGTGGACCCCGTCAACGTCATCGCAGCCACCTACGACATCCTGATCGAGTCCACTGCCGAGTTCACCCACTACAAGCCCCCTTTGAACTTGCCCCTGAGGCCTGGCGTCTGGACAGTGAAAATCCTCCACCACTGGGTGCCGGTTGCAGAGAGCAAATTCCTCGTCGCGCCTCTGACCTTCTCCCACAGGCAGCCCATCAAGCCGGGTGAGTACTGCCCGTGTCTGCGGGGGGCCGGTGGGCGTTTGCGAGAACAGTGCCCTCTGCCCTCAGTGCTTGTATCTGTCTGCACTGAGGCAATGCCATCTGTCCGTTTATTAGATGCCCTCCCACGGGACTTCCAGAAGGCCCTGATCATATTTAAGACAAGACAGCAGATAAACTAAGACAGACGGAGTTTCAGCAACTCTTCTTCACTGTTTAAAAAAACAAAACAGAAAATTGTGTTAATCAGAAATATGATACAACTAGGTGAAAAGACATGCCACGTACTGGTGTGAAATATTCGCTCCACATAAAAATAGTGCCCATATTCCAAATCGATGGCAAGCGCTCACTCAGGAATCGCATATAGCAGAGCAAACTACAAGCCCTCAAGCGTCCCTGAGCAGGTTCGCATGGAGGAGCGCTGGGAAGGGCAGGCTCCGCTGTGAGGCGCACCTGTGAGGCGGGAGCAGCCGGGCCCGTTCGCTGGGTCCTGAGTTTTCCGGGCTTTTTTCCCGGAGTCCCTGACGTGGGCGAGGCTCTTCCCACCCATGCCCAGCCCGAGCCAGGGGTCGTGGCATCCCACTGAGCACCCCCCGACAGGCAGCGGTAATTGTATCTGTTAACGACATTCCAGTGACAGGGAACACAAAGGTAGGAGCCATGCAATTTGTTAAATGATTCATCAAGAGTAATTTGCTATTGACGCGTCCCTCGTAATCTCCAGAAATCTGATGAGGTGGAATTGAGGGGAATGTAATTAGAGCGGCGAGCGGCGCAGGCTGGAGCTGTTAAGAGCCCGTCCCACGTTCACCTCGTCTTTCCTAAGGATTCTTTGTGTCGGCCACAATGAGGGGTTCCTGGTGTTGGAGCGTGTGTTAGCTGCCCTTTCCACTGTGCGTGCCCTGCCTTTGGTCAGCGTGGGTGTCACCCCACTGCCCATCTGCAGGACAGGTGCACCGAGAACCAGAGAGAACAGGTGTGGTCCCGGCTAACAGTACAGGAGCTGCCCGCCCCATCTGCCAGCAGCAGGGAGACGTGGGCTGCGGCCCGGGTTAGACGGGGGCCTACCTGGCTGTCGGGGAGCTCTGCTAAGTCACAGCAAGACGCCCTCTAGTCTCCCCTCAGATCCGCAGGGCCCTGCGCCCGGCTTCCTGGGCCAGTGGGAACAGAAGGAGTGACTTTCTGGTGTGTGTTAGTCAAGGCGTGTTTTCAATTCCACTTATCTTCCCTTTGCATTTAGAAGGGCGGGCATGTTGTGGACGTTTGTCATCCTTGTTCCCCGCTCAGGACCACACATGACCTGATTATCCAGGCTGTCACCCTGTCACTGAGGGTGATAGCCACTGTCAGGCAAGCAGGAAGCATTGTCTTGTGAACGCCGCTTCCTCTTAAACGGAGGTTTCTTCTCATCCTAGCTCTCAGCTACAGCCAAAGCAGATCTGGGCAAACATGGCTCACAGGAAGCACTGCTGTCTTTATAAAAATATGTCGTCTTGCGTTTGGCAATCTAATACGCAACGAGTGGGAACTCCTCCTAACCAGAAACGGCCAGCTTCTGTCCTTCAGCCCAATCTTTCTGCATCCCCATCTTCAAGCCCCAGGAAGCAGCCACAGTCCCTCTCGTTTGCATGTCACTTCACTGTTGACAAAGCCCATGAACTTCTGGCTGAGCCTCTTGCCAGCCCAGGAGGTGTGATGGGTGTAAGACTGAGTGTCCCCGTTTTACAGGTGGGGACACCAAGTCTTTGGAAGACTGGCTCCCAAACGAAAACAAAAATCAAAGTTACTGCTTTAGCTTCCAGCTGGTGTAAGAGTCTGTGATTAGGACATCGTGAGGACAAACACCGGCTTTGGGGTCGGCCTGTCTTCAATTTAACCCCAGCTCTGTCTCTAACTGTAGCTGCCTCTGTGTCCCCATCTGTGAAATGGGGACGGTGACACCAGCCCTCCAGTTATGTGTGTCTTGTGTAACCTCCCTGGCTACCTGGTTCACTCCATCACATAGAATAGAGCCTGGCCCTGAATCAGTCTTGAGCAAATGAATAGATGAACGAATGCCTTGCACACAGCAGACAGTAAATCTGTGTTGAATAAAAACCTTACATCAAGTAGGGACTTAAAAATACGCAATGAATGAATGAATGCAGCATGTCCTGCGCGTGAGTTGGCATAGGGCGGGCTCATCGTGTTGAAGGAACGTCCTCACGGCTGTCCTGGGGGACCGGGAAGAGGACTTGCTCCTGAGACGGTCGGCGCGTGAGTGCCGTGGCGCCCGCGGCCGGGCGCCGGTTCCCAGCTCTGCTAACCATGTCCCGCCCGCTCTGCTTTCAGAGGAGGCCCTGAAGCTGCACAGCGGGCCGCCCCGCGGTGCCTACATGGAGCAGAGCTTCCAGAGCCTGAACCCCGTGCTCAGCCTAACCATCAGCCCCGCGCAGGTGGAGCAGGCGCGCAGGAACGCGGCCGCCACCGGCCCCGTGCTGGAGCGCTGGCTGGACGCGCTGGTGGGCACCATGTGGACCGCCATGGGCGTCTGCGCCACCGGCCCCACCGCCTGCCCCGTCATGCAGACCTGCAGCCACACAGCCTGGAGCTCCTCCAGCCCGGACCCCAAGTCGGAGCTGGGGGCGGTCAAGCCCGACGGCCGGCTCAGGTAGCACCGCGCACGCGTGAGCCACAGCTGGTCGCCAAGGGAAAGCGGCCGGAGGGCCGGCGGGGCCTGGACCTGGCCTCCCACCCCGGGGGCGCCTTTTGTGGGAGCGGCTCTCCTGGCTGTCGAACGATGGAGAAAGAGGGTTTGAAGGCCAGAGCGGGGTCTGCCGACCGCCTGCGTTTGGCAAGCCGGCTACGGGGGCGGCGGAGGGCGGGGCGCCGTCTCAGCGCCGTGGTCTTACCTCTTCTGGTCGGTCCTCGAGCCCTTGTGGTCCCCCTCCAGTGACCCGACCCCCCAGACAAGTGATTCTCCAACTTTTACTTTGAGCAGCACTTTGTTTACTAAGCGCAGTCATGGGTGGAAGTTCAAGGTGCGGCCGAGCTCCCGGCTGCTCTGGTTGGAGTTGGGAGGGGAGGTTCCTTCTCAAAGCTCGGCCCACGGGCGGTCCCCTTGCCAAGTGCATCTCCTAGGTACCTCGTCAGAACCCAAGGGCTCCGTAAAACCCAGTGTGACCAGCACTGCCCACACCCGCTCCCCGCTCCCCTGGGCCGGGGAACCCTGGAGTCAGTCCTGAAACGACCGGCCACTGGAAGGAAGTCCCGCTCACGGGCCCTTCCCCAGGCAGGCAGCGGGCTCCGGAGGGCTCCGAGCCCCCCGCAAGCCCTTCTTCTTAGTAGCTAGATGTGCAGGAAAGCCCTTTGATGTGACATGGCCAAGTCCACCGAGCTTGACTGCCAGTGTCCTGGGTTCCAGGCCGCCCTCCCTTGACTTGGGGCCAACACGGGCCAACGCTGCTGAGTCTCGAGTCTCCTGGCCATTCACGGGCCAGGAGACCAAGACTGTGACCTCACGGGCCATGAAACTCACAGAGATGGTTTGGAGCCGAACCACCCCGAGCTGCAAAGCACAGCAGTGCCCTCATCTGCCCAAGCCCTTCCGTGCCGAGGTCAGGCACTCCAGACCTTTGAGAACCACATACTCGGTGCTGTTGGGAGTGACCAAACCACAGGGACCAGACTTTTCACATCCAGGAAAAAGCATTTCTGATTTGGTTTTGGTTTTTAAATTCATGCCCTTCCTTTCCGAGGTGCCAACGGGCCCACCTGACATGCAGCGTACAGGCTTGAGTACCTGGTGGTTTCAACCCTAAACCATAGTGTTATTCAAATGACTTGAGTTACAGGAACCTGAAAGGTGCCCCCCTCCCCAGAGGCCCCCCTCTGCCTCTGACCCCACCCTCCCCCTAAAGACAGGGTTCCCTTGAGAAAGTCCCACCTGCAGCTACAAACTGTCCTTCCCAGGAGAGCAGTCCTTGGAGTATATCTCCCCAGTGTGAGTTCAAAGGTACCGCAGTTCCAGCCGTTGCCCCCAAAACCACCTCATCCCCTGCCCAGCAAGGCAGGCTAGGCTGTCCCATGGGCAATGGAGGATATGAAGAAGGGACACGTTAGGTATTTATTATTTTAGTCAATGACTAATTAGTAGGTGCTGTTTTTGCAGCTTGTCAATTATGTTATCTTACTAACGGAAGCTGCCTTTATTCACAAAAGGCCCCCCCACCCAGCCCTTCGCCTCCCTCTCCTCCTCATCGCCTAGTGTCTCTCTCTCTCTTCTCCCCGCCCCCCCCATTCTCCATGTTCTCAGAGAAAAGCAGGGCTGTTGGGCACCATGAGGGCACTTCGACCATCATCATCCACTCTCTGGAAGTGGGGTGACTTTGGAGCCTCGATTGCCCTGTTAGCCTCATCGACTCGGTTCTGGGGGTGTTGGAATTCCTGAGCCATCCCTGCCTCCTCCCTGGCGGGCCTCCCTCTGCCAGTCTAACCCTGGGCCTCCATGTGACAACCTGACAGAGGGACGCAAGCCCAGCAAGATCTATTTTAGGAAAAGGGTAGGTGGTCAGAGCAGGCAGGGGAGCCCAGGAGATGGTCACTGTCAACAGTGGCTCCAGGGAGGGGCCTTCTCAGAAAGCCCGTCTGATCTGCAGATGGACTTACATACTGGGAGGCCTGTGTCACTGCAGCGGCTTGGAGAGCTCAGCCCCGTCACGCCCCCTGTGCAGTGCACGCCTGCAGGTTCCCACACGGGACCTTCCTTACCCACTGGTGTTTGTTCCTACCATGGAGCAGGTGGCAGAGCTGGCTTCCTCTGGGGACACTCCCCACCCTGTTCCTGTCCCGGGTTTCATGCCCTACTCACCGCGATGAATTCTGGGACGCTGAGCAGTCACCCGGGATGTTCCTTCATGTCCGCTGCTGTTGAACAGAGAATAATTTTGCAGATGTTACACTTGCTTAAAAAAAAGAATTCCAAACAAAGCCCAGGATAATGTGAGAAACGGTGATATTTTCCAGGGAAAATCGTTCAGCTCATATTCTCTATCTGCCCAAGGATGATTTACTTGTTCGAGGCCACTGGTCAGACAGGACTTTAGTGAGGGCTGCCTGAGGTTTTTACAAATGTGAGACAGAAGTCTCTGGGCCGTGACGGCCAGGTCCCCAGACTGCGAGAGGGCTCAGAGGTGGGACGTGGGGGTGAGTTCCCAGGGAGAAAGCAGCATTAGCAGGCTGTGGCACTCTGTCCGGTTTCCCAGCCAGCCTGCTGACATGCAGGCAGAAACGGGGCTCCGGAGGCCGCTGGCCCCGCAGTCCGCTCCCCGGCCACGCACGCAGGCCTGCGTCTCCATCTCCGCGTGGGCAGGAGCAGTTCCGGGGGCCTGCGTTTCAGCAAGTGCACCAGTTCCTCCCTTTGGAGAAAGGCCTTTCTGGGTGGATCAGGAGTCACTCTGACTCCATTGCCCACAGTTAGCTGAACTTTGCAGAGGCTGAGCAAGGCCACACAAGCTCCTGAAGGGGGCACACTGCAGCCCCTCCAGGCACATGCGTCCTTCCGCTTCCAGGGGGTGAGGAGGACCCTGGCTGGGACTTGGTCCCTATGTCAAGGTCATGCAGAACAGAGGAGAGCAGCAGCTCCGGGGGTGGGGGTGGGGGGGTGAAGGCCCTTTTCACAGCCAAGGTCCCTGGGAAGCTCGGGACAGGAGCCCCCAGCAGCATCCAAGGGGGACACACTAGGCACAGCTGTTTGCAAAGGCTGCCCGATCGGAGCCGCACCCTATAGCCGGGGTCACCAGTGCCGTGGGGCCCAGGACACGAACGCAGAAGCAGCTGGTGTAAGACCATGGAGCGGTGGGGACGTTGTGGTCTGCTGGCTCGGCCGCCCGCTGCCTGTGATAAAGCAGACCTGGGAGCTGCGTCCCCCAGTGGGGCGGGGAAGCCGGAAATTCACCTGCTTGTAGGAAATGTGACTTTTAAATCTTGGCAGCTTTGTTTTCTTTTCAACGGGATGGGCACAGAGAACGCCCACAGCTCAGCCTGTGCAGGGGCAGTGACCTCGCTCTCCTGAGGGGGCGTTTAAAAGGTTGGGCATCGCCGCTGGGCAGGAGGGAAAAGCGGCTGAGAAAGGGCAGAAATGACTGCCCGTGTTGAGCTCTGGCAGGAGCAGGAACCTGAGTCGTCAATCCCGTCCCAAAAGGGATGGGCCCCCAGGAGGTGTCCCGGGAGAACTGGCTTGTTCCGCTCCCCTGGTCCCAAGACAATCTGTCTGTGCTGAATGGAAGAAGGAACGGAATTTGGGGGCCCCGTCTGCTGCCCCTTACCTGAGGGGGTCCACGTCTGTCCAGGCCACACCATCTGGAATTCCATCACTCCCAGGCAGAGAGGTCAGGGACGGGGTCCAGGATGAGGGGGTGGTGTGTAGAAAAGGTCAGGTGTCAGCGCCATCTTGCCACGTGTCTGGAAGCTTCCTGGGCGGCCTGGCTGGAGCTGTGCTCGCTCACAGGATGTCCATGCTTCTGCCTCAGTTACCTTACTCGCCCACGGGTCTACCACAGGCGCTACCTCACCGTGTCCGCTGAGACGTTTACCTGGAGGGAAAGAAAGACAGCCACATCTGCTTGATCTGAATGTACAATCTATGCAAATTCTCTCCCTCAGTCTGTCTCGTTTTTTTTTTTTACCTTCCAAACAAGATACTCTTGTACAGACCGCTTTTAAGACTGAGGGCTTTCTTGTACCACCTGTGTCCACCTGTCCCGTTGTCTTTGCTTCTGTCCATGCCAAGCCCACACAGGGAGAACGTGGCCCTCACCCCTGTCCACCTGGCTGGGAGCGCTCCACCGGCCTCAGCCCACAGACCTCACGGGAAAGCAGGTTCTGCCCCTTGCCACCTCCACTCCTAACTCGTCTCCGTTCCTCACTTGCCTCTGACTTGCGTATCCCCTCCCACCCCACCCCCCAAAAAGCCTTAGGTTCTCCTTTTTGAAATGTGGCCTTAAAATTATTTTTGGAAAGCTGACCTCCCTCTCATTTCCACCAACATCTGAGAAGAAAGAGCCTCTTGAAGCTTTTGTGGCAGCCCCCTAAGCGAGCGGCGGCCAATCTGTAGTTTGCAGATGCTTAGAAATTGCTAATAAATGTTGTCTGTAAGAAAAATATCCTTAAATGTTTCCTATGGGTAAAATGAAGGCCTGGGTGCTCGTCTAAACCTCAGCCGGCTCCTGATGCGCTCAGAGCGGGCGGCCGCGGGAGTGGGCTGGCGCCATCACCCCCAGAGTGCTACCTCCACTTTCCACCCCTCCCCTCCCCCAGAGACGGGGCGACTGTGTGCTTCCGTCAAGGGTACATCAGGAGAGTCCCGCCATGTATCTCTGTCCTTCCTGCCTGGAAAGTGATAGCATTCAACGCTCCCAGCGGATGGCTCCTGTTCTCCAAGGGACCACACTCTCCCTGCCTTCAAAGCCCCTCCGTCGCTCCAGGGCTGATGGAGGCCAAAGACAACCCAGGGTTTTCATAGGAAACTCACTGGAACTGAACGCAATCGTCTTTGTAGTCCTTTCGCCTTTTAAAAAATATTTTTTTAATATTATGTTGTCAATAGCATTTGTTTGGGTATTTTTTAGAGGCCTCACGATAAGTTATTACCACCCCCTTCATTTTTCTTTCAAAGACATGTGGTGATATAGTTTCTAAAAATAACTATTTTGTTATAGATCATAATATGCATAAAACTGTACAGAAATATTTTGTAATGTATTGATTTTTTTAAAAAGAGAATCTGTAAATAAAGTTTTAAAAAAGAGAGAGAGAATTCAAATGGCACACACTGAAAGATGTAGATATTTTGCTATTTATTTAAAGGAGTATTTTAAGAGATATTGAGCTATCCGAAATTGACCAGTAATCAAAGTTCCAACCCTGCAAATGCTTTTCCTCGCGGTAGAATGTGATTCTCAAAAACAATTGCACTACCCACCCATTTTTGCACCTTTTCTGTCTTTTCATTTAGCAGAAAAACAACGAAATTGTGCCTTAGCTGTTGTTTTTTGTTTTTGTTTTTCTGTCTAGGGGAGTTTGTTTCTGTGTGACAAAGCAAAATTTTTTGCAGAAAAAAAAGTGGATGTAATAAATACTGTACCATACCAAAAACACTGCAGGTGTATATAGATGCTTTCTGTCATACTGTGTTTTCAGATGCAGAATTTTAAAATTAAAAAAAAAAAGAAATACTGTCTTAATGGAACCGTGGCTGTGTGGCTTCTTTTCAGCAGTACCGTGCACCTTCACACCATCTTGTATTCTCTGACTTCCTCTGTACTGTCCAACCCCTAGTACTGGGGTGACTGTATGATTTGTCATCCAAACTGGGATACTTCTGAACAGGAGGGGGGCACAGACTACAGGAGCTGCTGAGACCACAGGCATGAGTTGGGCCTCTCCTGGGGAAACCTGGATGTGTGCACGCACTCCCCAGTCAAGCTTGCTATCAGCCTCAGCTTGATGACTGCAAGTCCCCTGGTTGAGGCGGAAGTGTATAGTTTTAAACCCTTTGTTAAGTAGAGGTTAGTGAGAAGACACTGCCATCTAAAGTGGCAGTTCCTGATTTTTCCGGTCAAGATGGGGGAGTAGGTAAATGCTGTGCTGACCTCCATTACTGAGAATCGCCTGAAGTCTAGCTGCACCGACGCCGTACAACTACTGACATACAGAAGCAGCCACCTCGAGACTGGTAGAGGGGCAGAGACGCACGGAACAGGTGGGTGCCTCACCTGCGTGTGACCATTAGAAATCGGGAGGGATATCTCGGCTGCGGAGGTCCCCCCTGAAGAGCGAGGGGTCCCAGCCTCACACCAGGCTCCCCGGCAAGCGTTTCAGTGCCAGGGAGGGAAGTCCCCAGAACTTCTGGCTGTGAAAGCCAGTGGAGACTGTGGCTGAGTGGGACAGAGGGTGGTGGCGTCCCAGGCGCTCCTCTTAGAGGGACCACGCACAGACTCACTGGCTCTGAGCTCCACCGCTGGGGCAGTGGCCTGAAAGGCGCCAGAAACGTACAGGGAGAAACTGAGTTGTCTGCTCCAGGGCGAGGGCTCGAGGGGCATTTCGCTCCCGGAGGGAGGGGCTGGCAGAAGCCCTTGTTTCTCTATTGAGCCCTTGCTCTCCTTGCGTCAGACGCCGTATTTGAGTCTCCGTCAAACTGGCTATCGTTTGTCTGCCACTTCCGCTGGCTATTCCATACAAACGACCTGTCTTAGCTCATGCTGCAGACTTTCATAAGCTCACTCAAACATTCACAAAACCCCAACAAGCAGCACTGGGCTTCAGCGTGTCCCGTACCTCTGGCTGAGCAGCCTTAAGCTCGGCACTAGTGACCGTAAACTTCAGTTCACAATTTGGCCTCTTGAGGCACCTCTAAGCCCAGTGCTGGTGGCGGCCCTCTGAGGATTGCTTTGTGGTTCATACCAGGTGGCCCTGGGCAGAGTACAGGCTGCACCTGAATTTGGCCTGCAGCGGGTCCCCTCCCAGGTGGCCCTGGGGCTGGCACGCCTGGTGGCCCGCCTCAGACCAAGCTAGAGCATCACCCAGGTGCCTCTAAGGACAACACACCCAAAGGGCAGACTGGGCCGCCACCAGAGCCCTGCTAAAGCAAACCCTGCTCCGCAGGGTCAGCCCCTGCACAGCAGCTCCTCCACTGTAGTCACGGCCAGTCCTCACAACCAACCAGCCTGCAGGTCAATCCCTCCCACAGATGTGCAAACAGCAACCAAGGCTCAACCACAACAGGAGGGCACACACAAGGGACACACCTGGAGCACCTGGCTCTGGTGAGGAGGGAGACTGTGCCACTAGGCCCCACAGCACACCTACTACGTAAGGCCATTCTTTATTAAGACCGGGAGACACAGAAGCCCTACCTAATACATAGAAACAAACACAGGCAGGCAGCCAAAATGGGGAGATAAAGAAACATGTTCCAAATAATAGAACAAAGGTCCAGAAAAAGAATGAAACAAAATGGAGACAAGCAATCTATCAGACACAGTGTTCCAAACACTGATTATAAGGCTGGTCCATGATCTCAGGGAGAACTTCAACAGAGAGCTAGGAAGCATAAAAAAGAACCCGTCAGAGGTGAAGACTACAATAACAGAAATGAAGAATACATTAGAGGGAGTCAACAGTAGATTAGGTTAAGCAGAGGATCGAATCAGTGATTTAGAAGACAAAGGAGCAGAAAACACCCAATCAGAACAGCAAAAAGAATCCAAAAAACTTAGCAGAGCGTAAGGGGCCTCTGGGGCAGCATCAAGTGTAATGACATTCGCATCACAGGGGAACCAGGAGGAGAAACAGTGAGGGATTGGGAACCTATTTGAAGACATGATGACAGAAAACTTCTCTAACCTGGCAAAGGGAAAGAAAAGCTTGTTTCTTTTAAGGGGAACTCGTCTTCAAACAAAACTGTACATTAAACTCCAATATATAAAAGAGACTTCAAAATTGGGGGCTGGGACGGGGGGTGGGCGTGGGGAGGGGGCTGCTGTAGTCACAGTAGGAGTGGAAATTCTGTCTGAGCAGAATTCTACCTCCCAGCCGCAGCCAAGCGCTTTGGTGGCCCCGGGCACAAGTGGACGACCAGGCTTTGAAACCACACCTCTGGTGGAAGCAGCGAGGCCTCTGAGAGGGTTGATGTCAGGCCTCCCTGCCAGGATGCCGAACACTGAGCTCTAGGCCGGGTCTCTGAGAGTGAGACCAAACCGAGATTAATTCACTCCCACCTGGTCTTGGCACGTCAGAAGGGTGGAAACTTAGAGCTGGGGTGAAGAGAAGGCTGGCCTGAGGTCCAGTCTGGACGCTCCTGATCCTGTGCCTTCCTATTCAGCTGGTCTGTTTGCCCAGCCAGGAAACCACTGCCCCACCCCGACGGGAACCGAGAGATCCAGGCCGTCTCCTCTCCAGGGCTGGTTCTACCACTGATTTGCTACTGATCACAGCAAGCCTCTTTCCTGTGATGGATCTCAGATTCCTCATCTGCCAAGGGGGAGGAGGGGTCTCCCTGACCACTGGGGTCCATTCAAGTTCAGCCATGTAGGTGCACAGTCTAATGTCCACCAAAATATGGTTTCTGACGTTCCTCTCCAGGTTAATCAGGCTCCTTTAAACTTACAGTAATGTGATCCACCTCAAAGAAGTTTCATCAGAAGGCGAATCTACTGGACCATGCGACGGCACGAGACCACAGAATTAAGACAGGGAAAGAGTCAGGCAGCCCCAGGGCGCTCAGAACTGGCACTGGCGTCTCCATGCTCAGGGTTCCTGTTTTCTTCATTTCTGGTGGTCCTAGTATGATTCGATTCTCCCCTCCAGACAGTGGGCACCACGTGATAGAGAAAGAAGGCCCCAGAAGTCCCTGCTTCTTGTCCTTCAAAGTCCATAATACAGGAACATCAATGTCCTTTGTCCTCATTGCCAAAGGAAATGGTTTGAACAAGCAAGCTTGGGCCCCATCATTGGGGCCAGGCACACAGGGTACTGTAATTGGCTGAGTCTGGATCATATACCCACCCCCGTGGCCAGGGGATTGGGTAAGAATCTGTGATTGGCAGCCCCATCCCAATCACATGATCAGAGTAGAAGAGGAACATTTCCCTGAATGAGAGGATGCAGTTGAACAGAAAAATACAACAGATGTCCGTCCACTACACCACAGCCAACTCCGGGCTCAGGTGGCTTCCCAGAAGCCAGTCCAATTCCTTTTTGTTCCTCACAGGCCTGAATCGTCTCTGCCCACCTCCTAGCTCTCTCCCAAAGGAGACGGGCTCTGGGCCTGCCTTGAGCAAATCATTTTCAGTAAATATCATATGGATGGTGCAGAGGATTTACGCTCACTCAGTTGGCTGTGGAGGGCTTATTCTTATGGGACCACATGATGGATTTCTCCTTTTCTCCTCGTCGCCTGGGCACAGCGCTCATGAAAAAAGGCCCACAGAACTGCCCTGTGCTAATTGTGGTGGAAGATTCTAGCGCACGGCAGACAGCAGAGCCTGGGGATCTGCAAAGAGGAACCTCTCCGCACGTTTCTATAGCACTATCCTGGGACCCCAGCCTCCCCTCTGAGCTTCCACTGCTCTGACCCCTCAACAGGCCCCCAGAGCCCGCAGCTAGCAAACCTGTCCTGGATGAGTGAAGCTTCTAGAAGTGGAGTTGATGAGGAAAGCACCAATGGCTGATAGGCTGACAGGCACCACAGCAGACTGCAGAGCGGGAGGGAGGGGCATTCAGGAGAAATAGCGGGGACACTTCGCAAACCTCACTAACCAGGCTGAACCCCTGACTAGCAATTTTTCAGCACCTCCTCCCACTGCGGAGTCAGACACGCCCATGTCCACACACTGGTTTCATTACGGAGCAGCTGTCGGGGCTGAGGCAAGTTCTCTTACCTCTCTGGACCTCAGCTTACCTGTCTGCATGTCGGGGGTAATAGTCACTGACTCATAAAGCTGCTGGGAGCATTTTAGAAAGACAACACGTGTGAAATATACAGTGTCAGCAACCCGTGCCTTCACGCCTCAGAGGTGAAAGCTCCCTGAGGACAGGGACAATGTCTGAAGGGTGTGACACATACAATGGTTGCCAGCATTTGATGGATGAATGGGGAAATGAATGAATGAACACATCAACTGGACTGCTGCCACTTCCATCATTTCTTCAGGGGCATTCCATTTAGTCTGGTCTCCATGATCATCCTCTGTTTGAGACCTGATGTCTTCCTTAAGCCTCAATTCACAACAAGGTGGCATCACCGTGACCTCTGAGATTCGAGGGCGATTTCCTCACGTGCCCTGAACCGAGGGAAACACAGCACTGCCCCCAATCTCTTTGGAGACTTTTAAGGAGACCCAAGTTCAGCTACAACCCTGGGTTCTGCTTCCACTGAACTGGCTCATTTTAAAGATCCCTCCTCTATTCTACCGGGTTTTTTCTCCTTTGTGTATGATATCACCTCCCTCCCCCAATAGGCACACCAATCCATCACTCCCCAATAACGACCGCCCAGCTATGCAGACAGATTTTACCAAAGCTTGCAGGTAAGGGGTTGCATGAGAGCATTTCAGATGGTTTAGAATTTAATTTTAGATACTTCCGTTTTCAAAAGCCCTGGATCCCTTGGTGGCCACCTGCCTGCACAGTCCAGCCTCCCGGCATCCGTCCCCCTCCTCTTCAAACCCTGCACCTTTTCTTA